AGAAGGTCAGTGTCCTCGGGCGGTGCGGCCGGGGCCGCCGTGGCGCCTGTGACGAGGCTGTGCCTCGGCTGCCCCGGTCGGGAGCTTCCTTCTGCTCCTCAGCGACGCCCTCAGTGGAGAAAGCTGCTCTGCCGAGTCGCCTGCTGAAAGACCAGATGTGCGTTCAGATGCCTCTTACGCAACGCTGGCCGGCCGCGGCGGCGCACACCTGTAATGCCAGCCCTTGGGAGGCTGAGGCAGGAGGATCACCTCTAGTTTGAGGCCATCCTGGGCTTCATAGCAAGACCTTGTCTCAAAAAACCAGAACCACGGGCCAGGGATTTACCTCAGGGGTTCTGCCGGCTGCCTTGCAAGCGTAGGGTCCTAAGTTCGATCTCCCATACCCCAAAAAAGCTATAAAAAACCCAAAGCCAAACAAAAAGCACATTTTATGATTTCAAATATATACCATATCTACACTTATATTTTGTTTATTTTTAATTTAATTGCACTGTGGTCCTAGGAAGTTACCTGAATTTAAATTTTCTGCCCATTGAGATTTTTTCCAGAGCCTAGCACCTAGATAAATTTTTTCCTCCAAGACTGGGGATTGAACCCAGGGCCTTCAACCTGAACTACATTCTCAGCCCCTATATATGTATATATATATATATATATATAGAGAGAGAGAGAGTGGAGGGATAATGAATATGGCAGACACTTTGCATTGTCATTGCATATGCTTTGATACCCTGATTTTTGTTAGGTCATATTCTACCATATAGGTTTATGCTTAGTTTGTTATCCTGGGGGTGAGTGAGATATGCTTACTATTGGTAATTCTTCATTTTTTCAATTCTGGAGATTCAACCCAGGACTTTTGAAGTGAGTTATATTTATAGTACTTTTTGTTTTTTGGTTTGAGGCAGGGTCTTGCTAAGTCGCTTAGTTGCCCGGGTTGGACTCAAACTTGTGACCCTCCTGCCTCAGCTTCCCAGGGTGCTGGGATTACAGGTGTGCACCACCATGCCTGCCATCTGGACAGTTTTTATAAATGCTCCGTAAATAATTTAAAAGTGCGTATCCTTAGTTACAGAGCTACACATTTGTATTTCTATATATGATGTTGTTGAGATGGGCTCTCACTGTGTTCCCAGAGCTAGTCGTGACTCCTGGGCTCAAGTGATCTCCTGCCTCAGCCTCAGGTTTGCATGCTTTTATTTTCAGGTCAGGCTTGCTGGTTGGGCTGTTCAAAGCCCCCTAGCAGTAAGAATCTTTCATTCCGCTTGTGCTGACATCTTCTTTCTTCTGCCCCCGCTTTGACCTTACATTTTTGTTAGAATTTTTCTGTCCACGTTCCCAGGGTGTGGTGTGAGCGTGGGACACACATGTCCTGTGGTCGTGGTCAGGGCCTTGTGCAGAAGAGCCATCTGAGTGTGAGGGTGGAGATGGCAGGGGAGGATTTGCTAGGCAGATGCTGACCTAGGTAGCCCTGGAACAACCGAGTAACCAGCTCCAGAAACAAGACCCGGTGAGACCGAGGGGGCCCAGGGCCTCGGACAGTTGCTCCACGTGACTGTGTGCGCTCCGTGGGTCCCAGTGCTCTGTTTTCTTCCCTCTTGTTTTTTTGTTTTGCTCTGTTTTGTTTTGAGACAGGATCTCCCTATGGCTGGGCTCCACCTCGCTGTGATCCTCCTGCCTCAGCCTCCCCAGTGCTGGGATTCCAGGCATCCGCCACCATACCTGGCTGTTAGTAATTGTAGTAGTATTCTGCGATGCTAGGCCTCAGACTCAGGGGTTCGCATGAGCTAGGCCAGCATCCTACTACTGAGCTACACCCCTGGCTATTTTTGTGTTTTCATTTTGAGACAGGGAATAAGTTACTGAGGCTGGGCTTCAACTTGTGATCCTCCTGCCTCTGCCTTCTGAGTCACTGATACTACAAGGAGTGTGCAACTGTGTCTTCTGGGTTATTATTTAGGGAATTTATAATGCAGTCCTGAATTAACAGCCTAATTCATTTTCTCTCTTTCTCTCAGTGTGCTGGGCATAGATCCCAAGGCCTTTTATAGGCTAAGCCAGTGCCCTGCGGCTGAGCTCTGTCCTCAGCTCTAATTCTCATACCTTTGGGGGTTCTTCGTTTTGTTTTGGGGGCTGAGGTCTCGCCATGGAACCCAGGCTGGCCTCAAACTCCTGGCGATCCTCCTGCCTCGGCCTCCCGAGTGTTGGGATCACAGACATGCACCCCTCACGCCCGACTTCCTGTCAGTTCGAAGGACCGCAGCTGGCGGTGGGATTCCTGGGCCGCGCAGCTTCGCCTGTTCGTCTCCCTCCCTGGCCCTCGCTCCCCGCCCGCCCGCTGGCAAGGCTCACATCCACCACCCGCCC